AACTAATAACAGTTCAGAAATTCGTCACTTAATCACTCATAGGAGTTGGTAATGTCTGCGTCTTAATCATACAGTTGAGCAAGCATACTATCTGAATCATAAGTGATTGCTTGCATGGGTTCTCTTGCCTCATACGAAGTAACAAAATTCATAAAAATATACACATTACATCATTAAGTGAAATAAATTATGATACACATTTGAAGTTGGCTGTCTTCTGGGTTGCAGTGACGTGTACTCTGGTATAAGTTTACCAGCGTTAGAGATCCTTGCACCTTCATCGTCAGGGTAACGAGTGATCGCACTGATGATGGGGGTAGCAAGGACCTCTGAAACGTCGGTAAACTTCTACTAAACTACACGGCGCTACAACCCAGAAGACGGCCATCTTCGGACCCACGGCCGTGAAAACCACAGTTTGCAGTAGTTACTTCAAGCGTAACTGAATCGTAGGATACTTGTCCGCGGTACCTTTCATACGAATAAACAACTGTTGAGTGTGTTAATGATCACGACCTTGGACCAACATCTCAACCCTACCTCTGAGCTAATCCAAGATCCAATTTACAAAAATCCCCAAATCCTTATCGGAGTACGTCACCTCGGCAAAATCTGCTGAGTCTGCGACAATTTCTGATGGCGCGAGAGTATGAGCGATTAACTATAAATTGCGCGCATTGTTTCCTGCGCATGATATTGTCCACGATCTGGTTCAGTCACATGACAGACGTTTCATACGATTTCACAGGGTTACAACATGTTGACAGTGTTAAAATAAAACCAAAGGTCCCCGACAGCTATTAATTATTCCAATCCCCGAAATGTTATAAATAATAAGAAATGCTCATCGAAGAGTTAAACATAAACAAGTGTTTCAAAATTATTGTAGCTTGAAAACATCTGTTCGTCGTGATCAATATTGTGCTTGCGCAGTTCATAATAATGGACACCCCTGTTAGGGGTGGGGATAGCACAACCTGTGTTTCGACATAATAGGGCGTGCTTAGCCCAAGAGACAGCCTACATCCCAACTCCTGAGTGGGATGTTGACTGGCGGCCCAGTCTGTCGGCTGCCTCAAGGTTAGGGCTACAGCGTCCGTCAGACAAGAGTTCCGACTCCCCTCACTAAGGAGCGTTGCCACGCAAATGACGACTTCCGGCTCACATATGCTCTTTAACTCTTGCTTTCTTTTGAATTCGAATGATGCAGCATTCACTGGCTTACCCTCTCAGGAAATAATGAAATTAGTATTTCTACGAAGTTATTATGTTTCTAGCCTGCCTTCGCCTACTAAACAGTTACGTTTGAAACATATTACGACATTTTGGGGGCATTTCATCTGTTCCTGACGTGGGAGTAGCAGTAAACTTGAAAGTCATATGTTGTTTCTACTGCTAGACGGAATTCACGTATTAATTTGACCATCGCTACGTAGTGTTACAGCGTACACAAAATTAAAACAAAAAAGAAAATTCCCAAACGTTAGAAAATGCTAATTTTTTATTGAACATGGAGATTCGTATTTATACAGCTGTCATGCTTTCATCTTCGTGCGCCCAACGGCTTATATGCCCTAAAGATTTATAGAAAGCGTAGAAAGTTTATGGATTACAAAAAATTTTAGTGTTTCAGGGACATAATCCTAAATTTAATTTGATTTATATCTGTCTTCACATTCAGACAAACTGATACTGGCAAGAACATGGTTCTTAGCAAAATTCAAGCTAGGCTGGTTGAGTTACTTATAATCACGTAGATAAATCAGTGACCTGTGGCCATTTAAGATGAAAATCACTGAAGAAAAAAATGTGATTAGTAGGTCAGAAAAGATGAACAGTAATTCACTTAAACACGAAATTTTACGTAGATTGGGCTTACCTTACACACATACTCCTCTTGTGTAATGACGTTGACACATCTGCACAAAGTACTCCCTTCCACCTGTTCTATCAGGTACTTGTTACCCACAAGAGAGGCTGAGAATTGTTTATTTGTTGATGATGATGTACGTGGCACAGGTGATGATGGTTGTAGGTTTGGATACAACTGACTTACACACACAGTTTGTTTGTGTTGTGGCTGCTGCTGTTGCAGTTGGTATGTCCCGGGTTTTAGCAACTCACAGTCCCCATCGACAGCAACAGCAACATTGCTTCGTACACCACCAGTGTCATGTGGTGGTCCTTGTTGTGAAGACGTTTCTTGGATAATTTGTTCATCTTTAAACCTCGTCAGTTGGAGGTGGTGGAGGAGGGTAGTAGATAGAGGTCTCTCTTCAACTTGCATTAGGATTGATTTGAATTCACAGACACGTCTGTACACTTGTGTAAAATATTTGTGTTAACACACGCTGTAACACGAACGTCTACCCTCGAGACACTGCAATACTTATGGGCACGCCTAAACGTTGAACTAACTTAACCTTCCACTTTACAACTTCAGGGCCGAAAATTGTAAAGTGCACTCGAAACCTTGTGAATCAGATTTTTTCATTGATACGATTTCTTCGGTCTCCTCTACAGACTAGGGCTTCTGTCAGTACATTTAATCCAATGCGGGTTGTACTCCTGGTCAGGCTTCTCTAATAGTAATAAATCCATACACGTCGACAGTGTTTTGGAACGCCAGTTTTAGTTCTGGAATATAAGGAACATTATTAATGTGATGTAAACTTATTATACAGTCGTCAGAATACGACAGAGTGTACGTATTTTCATGCAGGCAACACAGTTTTAAAATGGGCGCCCGTCATTTACTAGGCATGCGCAGAGTGTGAAATCAATACTGTATGTCCACTAAGAGCTGTGAAGATTTTTACAGCCGTGACGAAACCATATTGCAATGACACAAAAGTTCTTGAAATGCATTTCACGTTCCTTCTGGTAAAATTATCCGAGATACGGCAATAAAATGTATAGTTTTAAACTAACAATGGAAGAGCCGTTAGATTTCATGGAATTTTATATATCCGATAACAAAACTGTCGGAATAAACTTAGTAATACAATAAAAAAAACCGGTTTATCTGGCAGCCATGATTAAAATCGAAAACTATACAAAATTGTATACGTTCCCTTTGCAACTAACCTGTTCCTTTGTAATAGCTTGTTCCTGAGTGGATATCGTTCCAAAATTTGACCATCTGTACAAACGAGGGATGTTCGTCTGGCCCTGGGGACAACGTCTCCGTCTTCCGGACTGGCCAACTTTTGGGCCGGTTCCCGCTCAGAAACAGCTTTCACAGCACGAAGCACTACCATAGCACGCCATTGTGCAACTGAGCGATGATCATGTTGTCGCTTGCATGAAGTAGCAGCGGCCATGAACCGCTGTAACATTCCGCGTCAACATTTTTGAGCCTTTATCTAACTGGCCGTTAACCGAGCAAGTAGGATACTTTAGAATATCATGACATTTACTATTTAATTTTGTTTTAAATAGTATCACCTTAGTGGAATTCTGTAACGCGAGTGAAACAGTGAGAACTATTTTCCGTCGCGGCAGACTAGGATGTGCAAACATGGCATTGCATTATGAAATATGAATGGCAGTTTCGTTCGACTGCAGCTTAAAACATGTAATTTATAAAACTAATCGGTTAATACCTTATCTCGTATAAGAGCAGGTATTTATTAATATTGATTGCATTATCAATGGCGTACACAAATTCCAAAATCTGATGAGTGCGGCCGTACGTAAGAATACTACTCATTTTCATTCATAACTACCGGTACATCACAGGTTGCTGTACCATAGGATAGTTTGCAGATTTCTGAATGGATGAACATTAACGTAAGTATGATTTATGTTTGGGATATGCTAGCTTTGAAAACGGTTGTTTTTAATTCTAAGAAGGTAAACGTACTTACAGAAAGTAACTTAGTTCCCTGCATCGTCTGTTGCCGTTGGCACAAGCAGTTGTAGGATGAATACAGTAGGACCGGGAGAAACATATCAGTATATGAAATTGCATTTCACTTCTTGGTGTAACTGTAGTGCTTCAACACGGCGTGTACTTTGTGTCCTTGTGTGTTACGATACATTACAAAAGGATTGCATTGCACCGTTTCTCACTGGAATTTTGCAAGTAGCTCTATTGGAAGTTGTCGACACTTCGTATGAATGCTTGTGGGTGTGCAGTTAAACAAGGTTGGGGGGACATTGCAATTCCACTGGCAACTGTTATTATTTGCTGTTATTATAAAACAGTAGCGCTGTGAATTTAAAGGACGTCGATTTATCTGTATTTTAGAACTCATCGGTCCTCACCAACATCCCCTCAACAGTGTGTGCCGAACTAGAAGGTTTTTTTTTCTACAAGATTTTGATTCTTCCGAATTTTAACTTTGTTCTGCCGCAGGAGGAAGCAGTTAACGTGCAACTTCTTACAAACCTCATTGATGATAAAGCAGCTGATCCACAGGTTTCAGAATGCTACGTAAACCAACCTTGCATTTTTAAGATGACTGTCTTCATGGTTGTTGCGCTGTGCAGTCTGGTAGATTTTTACCGAAATTTCAGAGGATCAGGGCGATCCCTAAACATACCAGACTACACGGCGTAACATCCGAACATACCTCAAAAATCCAACCTTGTATTTTGAACGTGGGTGCGACCCTAATTATTTTGCAATTGCAATCTATTGCAACATGGGCCTGTGTTATTCACTTATAGAAACGATAATACATCTCTTTAATTTATTCTCTACTGCAAGGTATCACTGTGTAATTTTAGCATGTGTTGACCTAAGCATTAGCGTTATCAGCGATCAGCAAGCATGCCAGAGCCACTCGGCTCTGGCATGTTAGCAAGCCTTACAGAGGTGTAACCTCTCGTAAGATTTTCACGTTCAATTACAGATGTTTAATACCGTTTTTTCCATTAAACTTCGTAGCTTCTGATTGCCATGCCCTATGGAGGAGACCGCACGCTTTGCTGTTATATTCTCTACCAGCCACTCGACACAAATGCCGGGATAATATCTTAAATCAGGCCACGACCGCTTCCTTCCACATCCTTTCCAAGTTCGTTATTCACAGTCGTCCTTTTATTATACGCTGTATAGTCCGAGCTACTGAAAAACGCGAAGTTAAATGAATTGTAGATAAATAAATCTACCGGAACGGACTTAGTGAACGTGACAGTTTCTGAGATAAATAGGGACACTAATGGGATTGTTGAGTTTTAAAAATGGGTGTCACTTGACCTTAGAATAATTTCCAGCTGTACTTAACATAATTCTTCTGTGGAATGTAAAATGACAATGTTCCTTACCTATATTTATTCTTCAGTTTGTTATCGATGTCAGGAACGTTTGAAACTAGACGTGTGGTATCTGGTATCGTTATTCATATTGACCTTAGGTGTAAATAAATTTAGCTTGTTGAGAATTAATCATATGGCAACTAACCTAATGTTTTGGGTTGTCAGAAAATATTTTAAATAGGAAGTCTGCCATTGGAATTTATAACTGTCGTATTAATTTTTTAATGAAGGTAGAAACTTCGTTGATGAGAACGTTTGTAAAACGATTAAAGCTGGGTCCACTCATGCTCGTGTCTCCATAAATATGGACGGGTTCACGAGCGCAAGCAGCGCTGTCAGACGGAGCCATGGTCTCCAGCCCAGGGGTTTACTGAACGCTGCAGGTCTATACTTCGAATCTGTCACGCATTATGCGGGAGCTTGGTATGTGGTTACTACACGGATAAAATAGTTACATGTTGAAAAGAATGTCTAAAAGATAATTCAAGCCACGAAAACCACCCATTCGCGCAGCTTCTGCACGCCGTGTTTGCTGTATTGATCTGCATACTCCAACAGAAACTGACGGGTCATACATAATCCTTTTCCACGCCCCCCAAGACCTTAATATTTCATCCCTTACCAGCCATATTGGTGTAGTTAAACTACGAAGTGATTTTGGTTCATTTGATAACGATTTCAGTACGTCAGATTATATACTGTCGAATGACAGGATGATTAGTGAATGATGAATTTACGTACCGTTGTCATGTGTAATGGATTTTAATGAAAGTAGGCGTTAGAACGACTTTCCGGAACGTCGTGTTCGTTTCTGCCACAATACTATTTGAGATCCGGTTTCATTTCTAGAGATTCAGGCCACGTTTGAAGAAGTTATAAGCTTCATATTGAAGCATTTGTGTCACAAACCGGACTCTCGTTTCTGTGGCGTTTCCTGCTTGCCGACAGATAATCAATACTGGTGCTTGGCGTTCGGTGGTGATAACGGGAATTGCAGACTGAGGTTGTAACGCGCATAATCCATATTCAGGAAATGAGCGGATATGATAAATTCTGGAAAAGGAAATAAACGATGCACTGGATTTTATACAGGCGTGACTTCAGAATACAAAGCTGTGCATGAGAATTTTCATACTATCAACCAGTTTATGATTTACTTTTAATCTGCTTTTGTTGAAAAGGGTGTAAGATGGACTTATGATGGGAATATCACGTCTGTTTGCTCATCCATGTTTTTCGTCTCAATAATTCAAGAACAACGGGTTGAAGAGTGGTGAAGAGTTTGCGTCTGAACTTAACGTAAAGTAAGGATATTTTTTTGGGAGGGGGGGCTGATAATATTAAAGTGGATTGGTAGTTGAACTGCTTTTAGTTTTGATTTTGCAATCAAATATGATGGAGAATTTGTGTTTCGTGGTTTTAGCTATGAACCATCTAGTCGAACAGGCAGACACGACATTCCCCTTATGCCTTGCACTTCGTGTGCAAAATGATTTGGATGACCAGTCAAATAAGAAAATGCTTACTGCTAATTAGAGTGGCTTATTTGTACATTTCTTAGATGCAGAATGTAAGCCCTGTATATTAATAAGAGTGTGTAACCAGGATTACCAAAGGAAGAGGAATGAGATGGGTGGTGCATGTAGCATGCATGGGGAGCCGAAAAATTCACACTCAACTAGGCCTTGACGAGCTCGTGTGAACACGGTAATGAACTTTCGACTCTATAATAAGCGGGGAATTTCATGAACAGACAAATCAGTACTGACTGCTCAAGAGGTACTATTTTTATAGAATAGCAAGTACTCTGCCCCTCACAGCTCATAGCTTCTACGCGCTCGCACTTGCATACGTGTTGAGCAATGTATGTATCTGTGTATCTGTATGCATGTATGCTTACACGTATATTGATTCAGAAGCCAGTCGTATAAGAAAGTCCGTACACTTGAATTGTATTTGTTTGCTTATTAATTAACACGAAGGGCCCACATGGTTTGCGTACGTGGAATACCCTTTGTGTCAAGAATGTGCAGGGTTTCTTCTCATCTGCAGTGTAGTCGGTCTGTAATAGAGTACTGTCGAAATATGGCTTTATTTAAATATGGTAGACGAATGTAATGCATATTATGATGACGTGTCTAATGTATTATCGAAAGTGATTCATGAGACAGACGTCGGATTGTTTTTATTTATGCATTCAGTATTAGTTCGTCTTATACACTCCGCCGTTAAGTAAGGTAAGTGTTTGAAACCCCGATCCTCCGTAATGGTTATTAGTCTTAGGAGTTTGTTGTACCTAATGTGCGTCACATTTCTGTTAGCACCTGTCTAAATCCTCGCTTTCACGAATATTATAATCTTTCGATATAAAACATGGATCAACAGATTTAAGTCATGTTGATGGTTGTATTCTGGGTTGTTGCGCCGTGTAGTGTGGTAGAAGTCTACCAGCGTTTCAGAGGTCCTTGCGATGACTCATCGTCCTGATGATGGAGGCAGCAAGGACCCATGAAACGTCAGGAAACTTCTATCAGACTGCACGGCGCAACAACCCAGAATACAGCCATCTTCGGACTCATATCCTCATATCCTACTTAAATCACGTTATACAAATAAATTTTAATAATTAAAAATAATGAACCAAACAAAAATATAGCCCCTACTGTTCGCCTTATAAGGGTGAGAGCGCAAGACTTAAGTTACTTATTGTGTTCCTGTCTTAATGCGTACATCCTAAGACTGGTATCTCAGTGTGCGCAAACGTACATAAACACTTACTCTGTTAACTATCAAACAAATGAAATTAAAATGTACGGACAGGAGAACTAAGGTTAACAGAACAAGATATTAGATGACGGAGGAAGAAATGAACGGTGTTACAGTGTTTTGTGTCAGCAGCATACAATAAGGATGTAGTAACGTATGCACTGGAAATTGATATGTTAAATGACGTTCGTACGTTTACAGAACAGATAGAAGTTAGACAAAATTTTCTGAATGTATCTCTCTTTTTTTCCCACAGAAATCTCCACCTGCTGGGATGTGGCAGTAATTGCTGGATTGACAAAGGCTGCTGTGGATAAAGTATCTGAGGAAACTAACTGGTGAGTGCAAAGAACTTCATCTTCAGCAGTCGTAGGCTTGGCGGT